ATCCAGACTTAAGAAGCGCAGATGTAGAGAGGCCAAAAAAGACAGGAAGAAAAGCTGCTTTATCCATTATTAAGTACATTAATGTCCAACGAATAATAGGTGGTCAGAAAATGATTACATGAGTAGAGACTAAAAATTCTTTTTAGCACATCTCAGTGCCCTGTTATTATCATCATCCTAAGTACCCTGTTACAGGCGCTGCCTTGAGCACTTTGCGTGCATTCTCTTATTCAGATCTCACAGTAATTTTCTGGAAATATAATCCCTAATAGAGTACATAATTTACCCTAATATTACTAGGTAAACTTTTATATGTCCAAATCTTGTACTTTCCCTGCTGGGTTAAAGTTTCCCAAAATTTGTTCTGAGCAAAAGATATTCACAGGTTGTTACTCGTAAAAATTAAGGGTATTTTTGGTAATAATAATATCAGTATTATTAGAAGTAAGTTTTTTATTAATACACTCTTTTCCAGGAGGAAAATGCAGCAGGAGCGGGGCATATAATACATTAGTTATTGAGGAAGAGTGGATTAATAGCTATGAAAATCTTGTGTCTCACCCTGTCGCACTTGGTTGTATTGCAGTCAATTTAATCCTTCAAGCTATGTGATATATGTTATTTTCCTAATTAATGCACTTTATCTTTGATTTCATCATCACACTTTGTCATCAGCCTGTTCTTTCCCAGTTTTGCCATTTAATTTCTCATAGTTGTGCCTTACAGTGTTCCTCAAATGTCTTACTGAGTCTTTTGTTATAAAATTTCCTGTCTTTACCTTACCTTGCAACTGTTTTAGTTTCTAGGTGTGATACATCTGCCTTCAATTAGCAAATGTTTTAAAGTATATGGCATTACTTTATTTTATTTTACTCTCACTAGTTCTCTCTTAAGCCACTTTGTTTAAGCACAATACTTTTGTTGCCTATCCTGTGTGCTCCTGGGACCCTTGTGTCTGACAACATCTGTCAGACACAAAATAATCCACTGGCTCCAAATGTTTCAGTTGTGATATTGAGTGGCTGTAATCCTCCCACTAGCATCATATAATCTGAAAACCTGCCTTTGGATGATTTTTGTGATTAAGAGCAAATACTCTACAAAAGTACATGTGAAACAGGAAGTGAGTATAATGACCAGACGTCATGATTCCAGTTTTTGGGAATTTTGCACATCCAATGGAATCTAAATTATTAGGAAACAAATAGTTTTGGTTGAAATTCATTATTTAGTAAATGAAATTTCTTTTGTCTTAGGGGCAGTTTGATAACATTTTTAAATCAGGAACAAAGGCATGTGCTATGCTCTATGCCCATATTTTTAATTCATAACTCTTTGAAAATCATACTCATCATCAAAAACAAGAGTCTGGAAGCTGCAATAAATCTTTCCTTTTTTTTTTTTTTTTTTTTGCTACCTTCTTGCATTACCAGTTATGTCTAGACTAAATGAAGTCTTTAGGTGAAGTTTTCTTCTTCTCCAATTAGGTGTAGCAGCAGTACAGCTAGAGATCTTTCATGTTTCCTGTAAAACTGATGTAAAGGTAATAAATAGGTACCACATACTGAACTGAGGTTCCCATCTTGTTAGTCTGCTTTTGATTCTTAACCAGATCGGAATATCATAGGTGGTGTTATGTGCATTTTTCCTTGGAAGAAACTGGGATGTAACTGTTAATTTCTCCTGGCTTTGACCTCTCCTAATTCATTTTCCTGTTACCACTGATTATACAATCCACTCTTTTTGGTATCCTTAGAAGTCCTGTTGAGATTCTGATTGGTATTGTGCTGAATATATTACTAATTTTAGGGAAGACTGTGTGCAGAGCTTAGCCTTCCATTTAAATAAGTTGGGTTTTTCTGTGTACTTAATTTTAGGGGTTAAATTTGTCCCTGTATATATAGATTTTAATTTTTGAAGTTTTCATAAATGGTATGACTTTTGTAGTTTTACTTTACCATTTTTAAATATTTATTTTATGTACTTGAAACGCATATGATAGAAAAGAGAAAAAGAGATCACTTCTCAAGTGGCCTTGGTGGCCATGGCTGAGCCAAGTTCGGGAGCCTAGAACTCCGTCTTGGTCTCCCATGTGGGTGTCAGAGACCCAGATGCTTTTGCCGTTGTCTGGTGGCTCCTTTATGTATTATCAAGTTTGATTTATAAATCAGGCACATAAGAGATTACCTACAGCAGTAATAAAATACAATTGTAATAATATAACATATATACTATAATAAAATTGCTGCTATCATGAATGCTCCCCTTTGGGTCCATTTTGTCTTTTAAATAGGTTAATTTTACAAAAGCACTTTCATATTACAATGCTCTGGTTACAACAGAATACTTACAAAATTTTTTTTTTACAATCTTTACATAGTTAATTAGGGCACAGAGGTTCAAGGGCTACAGGAAAGTGGGTAAGACTGTTATTTCCACATTTTTTTCTGTTTCTGGGGTAAAGAGGGTGATAAAGGGAGAAGCCCCACTCAACCTCCCAACCCATCCTAGGTCCCTGATGTGCGGCATGCTCTGAGGGTCTTACTCAAGTGGTTTTGATAGTTCAGTGGTTATGAATTGCTGCCACTCTCACCATACCAAGCACAAGGAAGTTGCTGCAGAATCCACTGGTTGGCATGGTCCATCTTAGAGTCTCCGTTTGTCCTGTTTTTCACTGCCTACATATGGCTGGGGTAGTTGATTCTGTCCTCTGTTTTGGTGCCAGGGATCCTCTGCATGTTCCGATAGACTGCCATATCCTCCATGTGCACATGGTGACAGAATATTTTTATTTGTGTTGTTTTATGTTTGTTGACATGAGTTTACAGTAGATATACCTCAGTAGAAATGATAGTTACTGTATCATATTCCTACACTTTTCTCTTTGTTCCTTCTTTGTTTTTTCTTTTTAATTTTATTTTACAAAGAAACCATATTTGTTAGAGGTATTAGTAGAAAAACTAGCATGAAAAACTAGTTGAACTATATTTATCTGGAACTTTATCACATATGCAGATACTCTTATTTTTTAAATTGTATTTTTGACCATGTTTACAAAATTGAGAAAGATGTCTACCCACGTAGACCACTGATTAGAGTGGAAAACATCAAGGAATAGGGAAAAGACAATTATACAGCTGTCTCCAATCTCCTTTTTTTCTTCCTGTATCCAGGGGAACAGGGGAGGGAAGGGGAGACACCATACCCAGCATCCTACCTGCCTCAGTACTTGGGAACTGGGGCACAGACGTGATGTCATCCCAGGGTTGCAAATGTGGCGCATGTTCCGAGGACACTGCTTGAATGGTTTCAGTAGTTCTGAGATGCTGTTGATTATGTTGTTCCAAGGTTGAGGAAATTCTTTCAAGGTCTGTTGGCTGACATAGTCCACCCTAGCATCTCCAGGCACTTGCTGTCAAGGCTTGGCTGGAAGAGTTGTCCAATTTGTTCTGCCATCAGTGCTCTGCTATGGTACTAGATGTCCTCTACAGGCCATATCCAATGAACTACCATATCCCCCATGTTCATCTGGGCATGCTGTCCACTGTACCATCTTCAACATCTTCAGCACCAAAGCCTACTGTCTTTAAGTCCACGCCTTATAAGCGCCGGGACCCCATATGGGTGCCTGTTCTGATCCTGGAGGCCCTACTTCCCATCCAATTCCCTGCTTGTGGCCTGAGAATGCAGTTGATGATGGTCCAAACCCTTGGAACCCTGCACCCACATGGAAGATCTGGAAGGAGCTCCTGGTTCCTGGGTTCAGATCAGCTCAGCTCCAGCCGTTGAGGGCAGTTGGAGAGTGAATCAGTTAATGGAAGATCTTCCTCTCTGCCTCTCTTCCTCTCTGTAAATCTGACTTTCCAATAAAATAAGATAAATCTTAAACAAACAAACAACAATTAAATAAAAAAAAACTAAGGAGGATTCTGACTCATACACTCCACGTTCAGACCACAAATCTGGTGATTTTTCCCCCATGATTGTATTCTGAGTTCAGTGGCCCAGTTACGAGGGTCTCCAATGAAACCTCATTTGAGGTGACCCCAGATCTGACTCCTGTTTTCTTTCTGTTCATTTACCATTTTGTGTAAGTTCATTTCTTTTATACTCAGAAAGTCTCAAAGGTGATTTTGCTAGATCTATCTCTTTGTCATTTGACTTTGAATTTGCTAGGTGTTAAGTAGTTGAAACAAAATAAGTGACACAATCAGAATTGCTTTTAAGTGTTGAACCTATGAAGAATTTGGACCTGTTATGAAATTGAGTTGTTCAACTCGGCAAAAAGAATGCATTTCAAGGATATTTGCTTCTGAAATTCATTTGAGTGAAACATGAGAATTGTAGTTAGAATTTGAACACTACTTAATTTTAAAAATACTCTATTGCACTTGAGCATATCAACTTTATTAATTACTACAACAAGTACAGCAATAAAAGTTTCAAACAGTGAAAAATACAATTAACCTCTATTGTTTATATGCTAGATACTATGGTCAATAAGGAATGTACATCCTTTTATTGTTCCGTTTAAAATTATTAACATTAGATCTATATTTATAAGTATAAACCTCTGTTTAAAGATGAGGCATAGACATTTCAAATTACATGTTCTTACTCCTTAAACAATTGGCAGAAGTTAGATTTCAAAATCAAGTTTTTAAGATATTCTGAACTTTTTATGGTATCATCGTAATATTTAAACTGGGAGCCAGTATCATTTTCCCAACTGAAGCCAGCATTTTACTCCAAACCTGTGTTACTTTTCCTCCTGAATCCTTAACCTATATGCGCTTTTTCTCTCTGAAATGCAGTAGAAGATTGTATGTGATTGTAAATATCAATCTTATTATCATAAATGCTATGACAGAATGACATTCTATTCATAGCAACTGTGGTTGCTTGCAAGGCATCCTTTTTGTGACACTATCCATGGCAGAATTCTGGATGATGTGTACCATTTTATGACCCATGAAATAATTTATGTTCCTATTTTTCAGTGGATGATTCAGCAGCCGCACAAGGCAGCTACGTTTTTCGGATGCATTGGGGTCGATAAGTTCGGGGAGATCCTGAAGAGGAAAGCTGCCGAAGCCCATGTGGATGCTCATTACTACGAGCAGAGTGAGCAGCCAACAGGCACTTGTGCTGCATGCATCACTGGTGACAACAGGTCAGTGTGATTCCAGAAACAACACTCTGTTAATTAGATAGTCACAGTGGTGAAGTTTGAATTATAACTTGAGTTTGGAATTTGTACTCCATGTTTATAATCACTTTCAGTGTTCAACAACCCTTCTAACTTACACAGATTGCTCCCTTTTTTGATTTAAAATTTACTTTGGTTGAACCTGCTGTTGAATTTATTAGGCACATCCGAATGAAAGTTCTTGTAATTATGATCAGAAAAGAATAATTTTTTTTCATAATTTGCTGTAATTAGCTTGTTTCCAAAATAGGATTCAAAAGACTGTTCTTTTTATCACATCCAGAGAATGGAATATTGGTTTAAAAGGCAAAGACATTAGAACAGAGAATGTGGTCCAGGGGCCCCCAACTCAGTCTCAGACTGTAATGGATGGAAGCAACTCATGATGCTATCAACTGGGAATTCAGCATCTGGATAATGCATTGTAGAAGAAGCAAAACCTTATGGCTGTATTGATGACACCACTAGACAAGGTTATTGGGCAGATATTATTTTCATAAATAAGATATACTCAAACTAATTCCAAAACATTAATTAGATCAGTAAATGAAGAATTGGCAAAATATTTAGAAACACAAAGATCAAGAGTTGATTTCTCTCATATGTTCAATTTTTCAGCATTGATACAATACAGACACACCTTGATCTGAATATAGTTATAATCTTGTTGTGCAAAAAGTATCTACTTACTCAGAATGTGATTGGAGAAGGGTGTGAAAAGTCAGGGGAGTCACAGCAAGAAGGTCATCTGGCTAGACTTGTTAGTGTCCATCAAAAAGAAAAATAATAGAAAGTGACTGTCCCCAGTATTCATGAGCACTGTGATGTGGAAGAGTCCCTCCAGGGAGCTGGGAAGATCTCCATAGTTAGTGGCAGCGATTTGGATACGAACATCCCTGCATTACTGTCTATGTTAATGTACCACAAACAAATAACACGCAATACATTTCAAAGAAGATATTGGCTGGTACACTAGGAATATTTTTTAATCCAAAGGATTGATTGAATTATTTCTGTTGGGAGTTTTGTGTGCTTTGAAATAGTATTTATTCTATAGGAAATGCAAAGTTGAGTAGGTCACTATTATTAACATTTGACATTCATTTAGTAAAATATCATTGCTCTTCAATTATTTGGAGAGGACAGAAATATGTTTCAGAATTGGTTTGGAAATTTACATATGCTGAATTTCTCACCCGTATAGAAGTTATTTATAATAATAATAATAGTATCAATATCAACGGTCTTCATTGTTACTTTTCCCTCAGAATTTCAGCAAACTGCAGAGACCAAATGATTGCATTATTTTACCAGAAATTTTCAAGCCAAATAGTGTCACCAGTTTTACTAAATGAAATTTAGTTAGTTTTGTTGTCTTGTGAAACTTAAAAAGTATAGCAAAAAATTATTACTGTATCAAAATCATTTTCAGATTTTCCTTTAACCTCAATTTTTTGTGTAGGCAAATTTTATGATTTTAACATTACAATAAATAAAACCACTCATTATTCAAATTTTGACAATTGCTGGTTGAGGTCTTTGTCTTTCAATTTTCTTAAAACTTTTTAAAATCTGTGCCCAGCACAATAGTTTAGCAGCAAAGGGCCTCACCTTGCATGTGCCGGGATCCCATATGGGCGCCGGTTCTAATCATGGTGGCCCTGCTTCCCATCTACTCCCTGCTTCTAGCCTGGGAGAGTCGAGGATGGCCCTTGGCCTTGGGACCCTTCACCCACCTGGAAGACCTAGAGGGGGCTTCTGGCTCCTGGCTTCGGGTTGGTTCAGCTCCAGTCATTGCAGCCACTTGGGGAGTGAACCATTGAATGGAAGATATTTCTCTCTGTCACTTAATCTCTCTGTGAATCTGACATTCCAATAAATAAATAAATAAATATATTTTTTTTAAAAAAAACTTATTTTAATTTGCATTTCTGAATTTTTCCCATTAACAAAGCATGGCTCAAGTTTTGTGTAGAACACCACTCAGGCTAGAGTAAAATTGCCACATTGTTTTGGTATGCTAAATTGCTAAAGAATGTTTCAGGTAATACTATGGATCCCTGATGTTACAGGCATAATTTTATACTAAAATTATTAATTTAGTGATCAGCATTGTTCAGATGACACTGCAAGTTAGAAACTGCAGAGTAACTCTCAACTCATTGTCTGAATTCTGAAACCTAGTACAGTTGGAAACATTGTTTTAGTTAGGAGCTATTAACCTTTCCTCCCATCATCTGAACCCAAAATCAAGATGTTTGGTTATAATGCAATATTTTTCTTGATCCAAGATACTAATCTTCAAACTCAGAATTAGGTATACTGGGATGGTGGGAATATCTATGGTTTTTATTGTTAAATAAGCTGTAGTTTACTATCAACAGTAGGGAAAAGAAAGCTATTTGTAGAATGAAGTGAGTAGGATTCTATGCAGTGGCATTCTGGCTAATTCTCCACTTATGGTGCTAGCATACCATATGAACACTGGTTCTAGCGTTGGCTGCTCCACATCCTATCCAGCTCTCGGTTTATGTCCTGAGAATGCAGCAGAGGATGGCCCAGGTCCTTGGGACCCTGCACCTACGTGGGAAACACAGAGAGGCTCTTGGCTCCCAGCTTCAGATCAGTGCCTCTCTGGCTCTCAGCCTTTTAAAAGGGGGAAATGAACCAGCCAATGGAAGAACTAGGTGTCTCCTCTCTCTGTCAAATTTACCTTTCAAATATGAATAAATAAATCTCTTTAAAAAATGGGTAGACACTTAGAAAAGCCAATAGGCATACTATGTTAGAGTGCTTGGTTCAAGTCCTTTACTCTTCTGTATCCTGATCTCGTTTTCTTCCCCTCCCTCCTGCCCTTTCTCCCTTCCTCTTTCTCTCTCTATTATTTTACATGTTATTTACATAGTTGATTGGGGTGGTAAGGTTCCAGGGTTAGGGAAACGTGAATGTGATCATTGTTTCCTTCTGATGTGCACCCTTCAGGCAGCAGGTGATGGCTCAGGTGCCGAGTTCCTGACACCCATGCAGAAGATCTGGGTTAAATTCCTTGCTGAGTTAAGCTCCTGGCTTTGGCCTGGCACAGCTCTGACAGTTGGGGCTAGTTGGGGAGTAAGACAGCATGTCAAAGGTCTCACATCTCTCTACTTCAAATAAACTGATAACTAATTAAAATTGAAAATAAAGTTTTGACAATACCAGAAGTATTAACTTTTATGTAGCAGCTATTTCTCCCAAAATTTTCCTGAGATCATGATTACTCAAATATTTTTATAAATGAGAACTGAGTTTTCTGAAGTTTATACTGTACTTATTTAACTTATGAATGTATTATACCTGTGACTCTGTATTTTTCTTTAATTGAGCATATGTGGATATATCATTTACTGGCAAATTGACATATATGTAAATAATTTTTTTAAATATTCTCTTCCTTTTTAACAGAGGAACTAAACATTAGCAACATCTCAAAACCATAACTGTTACCTTTCTGCTAGAAAAATTTAAAATTGGTAGTTTTATAAATTAAGTCAAAATGAGGAATAAGAGTGTTTTACAAATTTATAGAAAATGTAAATGATTATTAAGTTTGGTGTTAGAATGTGTTGAAATAATGTATATGCTACTTTTAACAGAATTTTGAGCAAAGTTTCCTACAGCTACCAGCCCAGGGAGTTTTCAGCTATAGAAACTAATAGCTAATTGATTCCAGTCCTTAAAATGTAATAACTTGCAAATTAACTCTTCGTAGTAAATGTGGTCTACATTTATATGTGTGTTTTGTAAAATTACTCTCATACTTGACTTTTAAAACATTAAATAATCAATTAGAGTATGTTGATACTTATTTTTACATTTTTCCATTGTAAAAAAAACAAGGAATGTTCATGTGCCTTGATTTCCTGCTTTAGAATTACTTGGTAGTTTTATTTCTTTATTTTGAACTACTAAAATATAATAGATGATTTTATTTAATCTTAAAATAAAATTCACATTCCAAATGCCAAATACCAGCTGTTCTTTCAAATATGGAAAGTTCTCAAAGCAAAATTAATGTTATTTGTATTTCTTAAAATATCATTAAAATCAGTTTTGAAAAATTAAAATTTAACTATAAATGAAAAGTTACAAAAAGCATATCATGAGAAGTATATGACAGCTAAAATATAAGTAAACTCTTTTCTTTGGTTTAGGTCCCTTATAGCTAACCTTGCTGCTGCCAATTGTTATAAAAAGGAAAAACATCTTGATTTGGAGAAAAACTGGATGTTGGTAGAAAAAGCAAGAGTTTGTTATATAGCAGTAAGTATTTAATAGATTTTAATTGTTGGCTGCTAAATGTTTTTAAATAATTGTCTTTTATTTACACTGTGAGTCATTTACCCATTTCAAAGCATATTAGATTCACTATTGTTAATATTGAGCAGAAATGTCATTTCTAGGTGAATAAAACTTTGTGTTAGCTACCTTCAACTCATCATCTTTGGAGATTCTACATTTGTGCTTCTCAGCCATGCACAGAATTCTGTGCCATTGAATCAGTTTCTTACTATTTTTAAAATAATTTTTAGGCAGCATTGTGAATGATACATGCATTGTGTGAAAAAAATATTAGTAGTTTAAATATTCACTGCAAACTGTTTGAGCTTTATTTGCCTAAAAGAAATCTTAATTGCTATTTATTCCATAGTAATTACCATGACACCTTTTAATTTAATATTTCAGAAACATTGATCATGACAAATCTCTTAAATCTGCAAATAAGGGCAGCATGTAATTTGAATTATTAAGTCTTCTGACATAAAAATAATTGGTTAAGAATTCTTTTCTAAAATAGGACTGTACTAAAAATTGCCCTTAATTAATCACCTCATGATTACCTTGTTTTTATTTAATAAGATTTAAATGTGGGCTGCTCACAAATAAGTAGATACCTATGAAAAATTGAAAGTTCCTCATATGCATATAATATGTGGTTTTGGTGTAACAGCTGCTTCCATTCCACTACCTGGGCTGTGTGAAACAGCTGGTAAGACATGTAAAAATTGATTATTCAGTAGAAACATATTTATTGAAAATATAATTATTTTCTTCAGCTGTGTTAATGTCCGCTACAGGCTGTTCATGCACACTGCTGTAGGCTTTACAACACTGTTATTGATTCCTCTGTAAAGCAAATCTCATGCCCACTTTATTACTGCCAAGTAAGTGCTTCCAATGAGAAGATTATATGATGGAAAACTAGGCTATGTTTTCTATGAGTATTTGAGAAAAACATGTTTAAGAATTAAAATTTTTTACTTTATGTTCTTTCCATTTTATTTTTCAGTGTGGATGCATTTTTCATTAAAGCCTTGGTGTAGTGCAATTTCTGAAATGTGTTTATGCAGGGGAATTTATGTACTGTTTCAAACCATCTTAAGTTTGAGTGTCTGATTTTCAAGGAGCACATGGTTTAACATTTGGTGTGATTTAAGGATATTTTTTATGTTAACTGTGAGAGATATGTTGTGATAAAAAAGAATTTTAACTTGATGGTTAAAGTTATCTGTACTTGAGCATAAAGTAATTTAATCCTGAATTACGAGTCTACCTGAAACAGATTTCACAAACTTAATGATTTTATAGTATGAAAACCATCTCTGGGTCAGTGGAATTGTTATGGAACAAAAGCTCTAACTTCCAAATAACTGATGATTATATTAATTAAATACCGCAACTCATCTGTTCAAATTTAGTACATTGAATTTTTATTACTGGATTGAATATTTGAAAGTCAATTTTGTGTAGAGAAGAGTGATTGATTTTGATCAGATCAATAAGGAAATTTGGTTAATTTGAGACTGGTGTTGTGTATTCATCCAGAAGGAATAACAAAATTTTTTCCAGTTGATATCTCTGATAATGACTGAGAGCTCTTTGCTTATTTTGGCAATTGTATAAGAAGAATGCTTCTTTACACTGCCAAGTCAGTCTATACTGTGCTCAGTGCTTGGATCATTTCAGAACAGCTCTAAAAATAGTAAATTCATGTTGGATTCCTATAGGCTCTATGCTCAGTTTATGTGCAGCAATTATTTGGCTAACCACTAAGAGTATAATTCTTAATCATTAAAATTTGTGACTCTTTTTGTGAAGTTTAATGTTATTCCCGCAAACAAGATGAGGTCTTGGAAATTCTACTTCTAAAAAAACTCTTGATCTAATGAAGCAAAGTGCATAATTAAGACTTCTGTTATATATAATAAACCAGCTTTACACACTCAACTCTGTTTTTTCCCAGGGCTACCAATATTCATCACCATTAGGAAAATTGAAAACATTGTATCAGTTTTTTCACGATGAATACATAGAGCAATGTATTTCTCAACAGAAAGCTGAGATAGAATATGACCCTTATGTTAAAGAAAGTGCTAAAGTTTGTTTTGTTTTTAGTCTTTTGAAGCAAGTATGTCATTTATGCTTTGTAAACTTAGTTTTTTTCCGTATTTAGACTAGTGTGTCAAATTCTTTTTTAGCAAGTGAGTAGAAACTACTGGTGATGGTGACTAGTTATGTCTTGAAAATGTCATTCGTAGATGTTCTTACCTTAGAATTAGATTGGCTTATATCTTCCTTCTGTCTAAAAAACGATGTTTCGTAAGTTAGAATTCTTAGACTGACATTTAGGAAAGTCTTAGGAAAACACATTAGGATATTGGAGCCATTTAATTTTCTCAACTATGAACCTTTCCAAGCTCTGATACAAAATTTGAGAGAAGTAATACTTAATGTTTCATCATGCTTTTTGGTATTGGTAAATTACCACTGTATTTTTTACAGTATGCATGTTCTATAATTGTATTTCATATAGTCTTAATTTTATATGTAAATGAGGAATGCTTTCTTCTAGCAATTATTTTATCACACCTGTCACCTTTCTTTATAGTTTATATTGATTATCCATTGATTACTTGCTTTGAATTACCATAATTTTTTAAACAGGAAGGACTCATCACCTCCCTTCTTGAATTTTTATTTGTGTCCTATTGCTCTTATAAAAATATAAAACGATGACCACTTGTTTGGTTTATATTTTGTATAACAAATATTTTATACATTGTCTTTTAGACTTAGAGCACATTTTCTTAGATTTTTTAGGAAATCTAAGGTCAGGTATATTTTTTGTTTCTGTTCCTTAGTATTTCCTTTTTATTTTTTATAAGATTGACTTATTTATTTAAAAAGCACAGTTAGAGAGGTGTCGGGAGTGACAGAGAGAATCAGGTGTGCTCCATCTATTCTCCAAATGACCACAGTGACCAGAACTGGTAGATAGCCAGGAGCTCGGAATTTCTTCCCAAGCTCCCCCAAGATGCAGCTGGGATGGCCCTCCACTGTTTTCCCAAGTAATCTGCTAGAGTGAATTGGAAATAGGGGAGTCGAGATTCAAGCTGGTACCCATTTGGGATGCCAATCCACAGGTGGCAGCTTTGGCAGCTTTACCCAGTATGCCATAAGAAAACTGCTTAGTGCTGTTAATTTCTGAGTATTGATATAGCTGTATCTCAAAGATTTTGATATTTCATGTTTTCATTTTTTAATAAATTTTTAAAGATCCATTTTATTTGAAAGGCAGATTTACACAGAGAGAAAAAGCAAGAGATAGAGATGTTCTATCTGCAGATTCACTCCCCAGATGAGTACAACTAGGAGCCTAGAGCTTCTTTTGGGTCTGGCATGTATGACTTGGGCTATCTTTCACTGCTTTCCCAGGCATGGAGAGTCAGATCAGAAATAGAACAGCCAAGATTCAAAATGGCACCCATATTGGATGCTGGCCACAAGTGGAAGCTGAACCTATGGCGCCAGTCCTCATGTTTTTATTTTTACCCAGGTTGCAAAATTTTGTTTCGCTTTTTACAAGTACTTTGACTAGTGGATTTTAAATGCCCCGATACTTTAATTGCAATTTTCCTGAGATTTTCTTTTTTCTATAATTGCGTATTTGTATATTCTTCTGAAATTTTATTTCATTAAGATTTAAATTCTGTTATTGTGTGTATATAAAGTATAGGATTCTTTGAACCATTTGTTAATGTGTCCCAGAGAATATACTGTATTCTAAATGTTTACTGTGTCTGATATTAAAACAGCCAGTGAAGTCATGTTTTGGTTATTGGTACTATGGAATCTTTTCCTTTCTTTCAGTACTAACCTGCTTGTCTTTTGTTATATTTCACTACAAAATGACAATGTCTGCCTTTTTCATTTGACTGTTTATACTTGTTTCCACTTAATGCAGCTGCCTATTTGGTTAAATTTGAGTCATCATCTTAGTATTTGCTTCCTGTTTGTCCCATCTGTTCTTTTTCCTCTTTTTTCTTTGTCTTGCCCTCTTTTGTGTTAATCTAGTGCTTTCTTGTGCAATAGGCTGTAGTGTATTTCTTTCACTCATCACAATTTGCCTTCAAGTAATATTATATGATTTCAAATAAATGTAAGATCTTTATATAATAATAATTGACTTGCGTTTCATCTTTCTTAGCCCTTATGACTGTGTTGTTGCTTTTGGGTGGGCCTGGGGGAAGACGGTCAGGGAGCAATAGACACTTGGCCACTCTGCTGATTCATTCCCAAATGCTCACTACGGTCCAGGATGGACAGGACTGAATGTGAAATCTAAGTTTCCAATTTAATGGGAATAGACCCTACTTCTTGATCTACTACCTGCTACGTCCCAGGGTATATATTTGCTGGAAGCTGGAATTGGGAGCAGCTCTTACACTTAACCCTAGTCTCAGTGATATGGAATACAGCCATTCCAAAGCACTGTCTTAATATATATTAGACAGTGAAAATATATTACCATAGTTTACCTTTTAGGTTTTTCATTGTGTACATTTAAAAACGGCTTTTTTACAAAATTCACAAAGCATACAACAGAATAGCTCATGTGTTAAAAACACTGTAAACATGGTTATTGTTTTTGTTTAAATTGCCAAGTGACTTCCATAATAAAAGCAAGAAAGCATGTATTTTCTCAGGTAATTTTCTTTTCCAGTATACTTCATTCCTTTTGCTTAGGCCCAGAATTCCATCTGGTATCAGTTTCCTTCTGCTAAAGGGCATTCTTTAACATGTCTTATGTTTGGATCTGCTAGTGATAGATTCTTTAAGCTTTCATATGTTTTGAAAACATCTTTGATTCACCTTCATTTCTGAAATATTTCTTCTGCCATGTAGTTCTAGCTTGGAAGTTGTTTTTTTATAAGAAAGATATTTTTCCACTGTCTTATTTTTTGTTCTTTTCGTATGTTCTT